CATTTGTAAAATAATATAAAAACACCTTAATCTCTTTGCGACTCCACGAGGCACGTGCGACGCGGGAATTTAAGAACGCTCACCGCCATTTTAGATGCAAGGAACGCCATTTTGCATTTACTCCACCGGTGTGAGAGTGCGTAGGAGTGAGAATTAAAGACGTGATTCATATCCTTTCAATCGTCCCAACGTTTTCAGATTCAATGCTAACGCGTTATCACAGGCGTAACAAAGGTAATGCCGCCGATCGCGAATGCACCATGACTCCAATTTCGACAGTCACCCGCCATCCCGCCAAAAACGGAGCAATTCTCCCGAGAGCTATCTTATTTTAATCTTCCCACATCGGCAAACGAATGCGGAAAAATCTCGACGCGCGGTCCTCTCGTCACGCCAAAAATGCGCCACGACGAGGGTTCTACGTATATAATCGCCATATTCGCCACGCGTCTGCGGCGACGCGCCGGAAATAGCGCGATCTTCGCGATCCACGATCGAAGGGACGCGGGATCGAGTGACGGGGGGAAGCGCGTAGTCGGCCCGAAAATAATTACTACGTTTCGCCTCACCGGACAACGTAATGGCGCCGGTACGACGCGGCGACGATCATTCGACGCCAGGCGATCTTTTGGCTCGCGGTACATAAGTCGCAAAAAGTCGTGAGAAAGAAAAGGAAATTACCGCTTCGTTGTTCCTGCCTCCGGGACCTCCAGGACCACCGGGACCACCGGGGCCGCCTCCACGGCCACCGCCGGAGAAACGAGTACCGCCTTTTCGGCCGCGAGGTCCGCGGCCGCCACCGCCTCCTCCGCCACCGCCGCCACCGCCGCCGCCGCCGCCGCCGCCGGGCGGGTTCCGATCGCGCATATTCTCGCTGCTGTTCTCGACTGGCGCGTTCGCCGTCTCAGACTTCACGTTCGGGGTCTCCGTCCCGGCCATCGTTGCTCCGTGTCCCGCGTGCCGTGAGTGAAATCCAATTCTCCACTTTCTGCTCTCGACCGAACCGAAGCTCCTACGTCACGCGTCCCGTACGTACGAGTCGACCGCACTCTATGGCGTCCGGCAACGAAGAGACCGACGAGGGGAGCCGTGGCAATTAAATATGGCAGTTTCCCTTTCTGGCTGCGGCGCGATGCATTGTGGGAGACGCAACGACGGGATTGGTTGAGGCGTCGGCTGCGGCGCGCGTTGA